GATATTGAAACAAATACTGATAACACTCATTTCTCGAGTTGTTTTGTAGAAAGTTTTCTTAGTCAAATCTCGCTTTCACCTTTTCAACTTTTTAAGATAAACAACCAGTAACTTTCATTGTCAAACTGCGGGACTTGCATAGTATTAGGTTTTCTCACACATACAAGTATTATATATGTCTATATATTTTATAATATATTATGTCTTTTACATGTCTCACGTTTTATGAGGAAAATATATTTTTCATAAATACCATTAAGCTAAAAATTATTCATACTCCTTCCATTCTTATGTTTACATTCTAAATCAGTTTCCACTCATTAGTGTCCTCTAGCTCAACACACACAGCTGAATATTTTTTGTTTGTTTGTTTTGATTCGTGGTTCGTGATTCGTAAAAACGTGATTAAAGCTTGATTCGTGTGCCTGTCCTATCCCTAAAGTAACACAACTAAAATGTTTATCTTTGTCGACTCTCGTGTATCGGTTTAAATTTGATTTCTGGCTACATCTATACCCACAAAGATCACAACTGAAAGGTTTCTCCCCTGTGTGGATGTTCATATGTGTGTTTAAATCACCTTTCTCCCTAAATCATTTCTCACAAACATCACAGCAAAATGTTTTCTGTTCTAGGGTAGTTCTCTTGTGTGAGATTCGATTTGATATATAGATAAATCTTTTGTTTTACAAAGATCACAGCACTAAGTTGTGTGGCCTGTGTGGATTCTCATGTGTGTTTGAACTTGATTTCAGGATATATCATTGTCCACAAAGATCACAACTGAAAGATTTTTCTCTTGTGTTTCATGTATCTGTTTAAACTTGATTCACATTTACAGTGGATATGAAAAGTATTCACACTCCTTTACATTTTTCACTCTTTGCTTCACTGCAGCCATTTGGTAAAAAAAAATCTAAAAAGTTATTTCTCATGAATGTACACTCAGCATCCCATCTTGACAGAGACAAAAGAAACGTAGAAATCCTTGCAAATTTATTAAAAGATAAAAACTGAAATATCACATAGTCATAAGTATTCAGACCCTTTGCTCTGAATCACCATTTTGAAGAAGTACAGCCATGAGTCTTCCTGGGAGTGATGCAACAAGCTTTGCACACATGGATTTGGGGATAGTCTGCCATTCTTCCTTAGAGATCCTCTGCAGTTCCGTTGGATGGTGAAAGTTGGTGGATCCATTCTCAGGTCTCTCCAGAAATGCTCAATTGGGTTTAGGTCAGGTCTCTGGCTTTGCCAGTCAAGAATGGTCTCAGAGTTGTTCCGAAGTCACTCCTTTGTTATTTTAGATGTGTGCTTAGGGTCATTGTTCTGCAACCAGTCATCCAGCCTCTGTGCTCTTTGAGCAGTTCCTTCAACCTCATGATTCTCATTCTCTGACATAAACTGTGAGCTGTAAGGTCTTTTTTCTGTTGAGTGCCTTTCCTAATCAAGTCCCATCAGTTCAGTTGAACACAGCTGGACTCCAATGAAGGTGTAGAACCATCTCAAGGAGGATAAGAAGAAACGTGAGTTCTTTCTGCAATAATGATATTGAAATAATCATAATTAAGATATCAAGATTCTGTCATTGAAAGATCTCATATTATTTTTGGAAGGATGTTTTAAAATGGATAGCCAAGTATTTCTCAACTGGAAATATTCTGTCAGAAAGACATTGTTTGTGTTCTTATCTTGGATTGTAAATATACAAACAAACTCCCCTTTAATGAACATTGATCTAATTCTTGAAAAAGTCCCACATGTACATGTAGGACAGTGCTTGAATGTGTCGGCACATGTTACCAAGGTGTTGGATCTGCTCTTTGGGTTGTGGAACTTTGTAAAGTGTGTCCTTTGAAGGACGCCGTACTTGGCGTTCATAACTGTGTGCTGGCAGTATAACGGTCAGTATTTGCTCTGAATTCTAAAGGTAGGCAATACTGACCGCCAGCTCCTCAACGTAGCCAAATGTTACTTTTAATGTTCAAGTAGTTAGTTTTGTATCATTTTGTCTTTTTCTTCTTTTTTGTATACATGCTGTATCTGTAAATCAATCAATCAATAAATAAATAAAAAATAACTGCGTTAATGAAACATGTTGACATAGAGTATTTGCTCTGAATTCTAAAGGCGAAGCCGCTTCGCTGTCGGGAGGTCCGAATAAACGGTCCCAACCACGATTTTAACCGTCGTGTGTGTCAGATTCCCGTCTCGTTTCCTTCTGACAAAAACCCTTAAGAACACACAACGCAGAGTCCAGGGAACAGCGAGGACTCATCTCGCACGGACAGGGTTACATACACAAATCCAAATGTAAGACAATGTCGCCTAAGTTTTGCATTGTCTCAAACATCTTCTGTTTTTGTAGTCAGGAATCATCCTGTGTTGTCAGTATTTTATTTATTTGTGTACATATTTATAAATACATAACTAAACAAATAAAAAATAATATAATTAATAAATTTATTAATTTCCTTTTTCTTTTTAGTTTATTGTTCGTTCTGCAGTTATGCTTTCAAGCGCTGATTTGTATTTGAATACTTTTTGTATTGCTGCCGTGCCTTGTTGTTTACACATCTTCCAGTAAAGGAAAATTACCACCACCAACTTGTCACCTTTAACACACTCCATACCAGTAGGTGGCGTTAATGCTACTTCACGGTTTTTGCCAACCGCCAATAAAAATCAAGGATTGAAAAATAAGTTCTCACCAGTTGGTGGCGGTAGAGAGTCATTTAGTTTTCTAACCGCCAATAACTCAAGAAAAGAATAACTTTAAAAAAAATCAATGATTTATTTATTTATTTAATATAAACAGTTATTATTCTTTAGAAGAAGAAGCAGAAGAATAAGGAAAGCAGAATGATAATAACAACAAGAACAACAACTCCGGATAGTTAGCGCTGTAGCACCGATATGTTGTGGTAATATGTAGCACGCAGAGTTTGTTTTGCAGGGACAAGGATTTGCCGAGGCTGCTGATAACATGCTGGCTGCCTTGGTGTGTGGAGCTGCGGTGTTTCCAGGGCTTTTCTTCAGCATCAGGAAGATCTTAAAACACACCAGGACACAGTGGAGCGAAGCCGACGTCACCGTAGTCAGTGAGAGGTCAGCTTCCTCCCGAGTAACAAGCTAACGTTAGCGAGCTGCTGCTAAGGTCGTGGGGACTGAACTGCTAATATTACAAGGATAGAAGAGCTGTTAAAGTCGGGACATTTAGCTTGTTTTTCAAATGAAGAGCCTAGTTATACTGAAACAGTCTGGCCACTTTATTAGGTACACCTGTAAATCAGCTAATGTCTACAGCCCAACAACTGTGGTATGAAGACGAAAGAGAACTTCTTTCGGTTCAAACCATGAATGAAAAAGGAGAGGAGAGTGGATATAAATAACTGTTTTAAAAATGGCCTTCAGACATGCTGGTGTTAGTATTTCAGAAACTGCTGACCCACTGGGATCTTTACCCACTACTTCAGAAGCGAATGGGAAGACTGTTTCAGCAGCTTACGGTGTGTAGAGTATAACTACTGAACTCTCAGCACTTTAAACCTTGAAGCAGATAGGCTACAGCAGCTGATGACCTTACCAGATGACCCTTCTGTTCCTAAGAACTGGAATTGAGGATTTCACTGTAAAAAGGCTCTCCAACAATGCACAAAATGCCTGATGAGTCTGGAGCAGCTGCAGTATTAAGATGGTAAGGGTCGAAATTAGGTGTAAATAACATGAAAGCATGGATTTATCCTGATGTTCCCCCTTAGTACAAGCTGGGTTGTTTCAGCACCGATTAAAATGATGAATTTGATTAAAGCTGTTGTGTTTCATTTGTCCAGTATAGTAGCATAGCTGGTTTGATTTGGAGACTTTTGGTCACATAATCGGAAAGCTATCGGAAAGTAAATCCATATTTTTTCTTTAAAGGTGACCTATTATTCTTCCTTGATGAGATTGGGATACAAAACGTGTACATTACATTTGTTGCATAAAATCTTTCTCTTGCTTTGTCTATTTCTAGAAGCGGTAAAGATCAAGTGGAAATACAAACTGTATAAAAGTACAGTTTAGTTGAATAATATAATTTTCTTGTGTATGTATGTCACATACACAAGAAATCTATAAATATATGTTTCTCAAGAGTGTTTGATAACCGTTTGTGTGGGGGCAGAGAGCGTTTGACCAAAAAGCTGCTTTTTGGCCCATTAATTATTTTAATAAAGGTATTTTTGTATTCATTCTTAATTATGGTAGGATTGGTCCTCCATACAGGTGTACCTGTCTTCTCATGGGCACTTCCAGCAGAATAACACACCTCATCACAAACCTGAAATGTAGTTGGTATAGTAAAACAGGAAATTTACGTCATGAATGTAACTATGATGTCATTATTTACTAATAGGGGGCAAAAAGAAGGGCAGTTTTCCAAGACTAATGTGTGTCCAGCTCGGTACTCGCAAAGGGTAACTAATAAAGTGGCCTAAATTAATTTGGAAAAAAATCCACAAAAAAAAACATGCATCAAATTTGTTCTTACTCTATGCTGTTAATTTCCTTGACTTACTCTTAAAATAAATGGAAAATTGTTAAGCTTTTCTTTGATTCCCCAAATTATTATTCAGTAATCAAACAATCATAAGTTCGACAGGACTCAAAGGATTTTAAAGTCAAAATTTATAAAGAAGAATACATTTTTCAACCTTTAGTTGAATGTGCAGAGGCTGTTCCAGTTAAGTTTTTCAAAAGGATCCAGGGATATTTTAGCTTCCAGGGTAAAAAAAAATAAAAAAATCAGCATTAGGATTCAGTTTTACAGTAAAGTTTCCAATTTCATCTGGTCTGATGTGTTTCTGCAGACTGCTTTCTGCTGTCCATGGGTCGCTGGCCACTGCAGCTGGACTCACAGTTGTTTCATCTTGCAGGGATGTGATGACTGATAGGTGAAGAACTCTCTATAATCTACTGGTACATTTTCATTGTAGTATAGGAAAAACAATCCAGTTAAAATGCTTCATGTCTCACGATGCACAGTCACTGGCTGGTGAACAGTTTTGTCCTGTTTGGAGTTCCCTACATGGCCTTTGACATCTACGCCATGTATCTGAGCCACTTCCACACTGAGAGGAGCAGAGCTGGGTCCGAAGCGCCCAGTGGACACTCGCTGCAGACGGTCAGGGCTTTCCTTCGCAAGGACTGGATGCTGGTTCTCCATCACACGGCCCTGGTTTTTATTTTCACACCCATCACACTGGTGAGATCAGTGAGGAAACGGTCATATTCATTCAGTCGAACCTCTGTCGTCGCAGATTTTCATTCATTTGGAAAGTTTGTCACAGATCTAAAATCAGTAACTTTGAGTGAGATTCTTCTAATGTTTTGACGCAGATATTCACTGTTTGGAAATATTTCTAGATTATGAAATAGTTGTTCATTTAGGAGAAATATTCTTTGTAACAAAGTCTTTATAGGCTAGATTAAGTCCTGATGTAAAGTGATGAAGGGAGCAGATATCTGTGACTGAAACAAAACATTAAGTTGATTATTGGACACATTGTGCCCGTTTTTAGTTTTTCAGGAGAGGTTTGGGGGATTTCTTTATTGGCTGCATGTTCATCACGGAGCTTAGCACTCCCTTCGTCTCCATAGGGAAGATCCTCATTCAGGTGAACAATGAAGTCACATGATCTCTCATTCTTTGCATCCCGTCTTGGTGGATTGCTCCAGTTTTTTAACTCGCACGTTTCTGGTCATCTGTTTGTTTACACACAGCTGCGCCTCGATGGCACCAAGCTGCATACAATCAACGGCCTCATCGTGCTCCTGACCTTCTTCACGTGTCGCATCCTCCTCTTCCCCTTCATGTACTGGATGTACGGCCGGCAGTTCGGCATTCCGCTGCACCGAGTGGCCTTCCACCTGCCTCTGCACTGTAACGTGGGGAACCTGGTGCTGCTGGCTCCACAGGTCTACTGGTTCATCCTGCTGCTGAGGAAAGCTCAGCGACTCTACCTGAGGCAGAGGAGGCCGCAGGTAGACGAAGATGTGAAGAAGGCAGACTGACGAACTCTTTGGTCTGTTAATTTACGACACTGAGACCAGAAGACATGGCTTCTGTGCCTGGTTTTACTAAAGATTTATTTGGACTGAAACTTTTATAAGTATTAAGGCCAGTTTAAACTAAAAATGAGAATAAAGTCAAATAATGAGGATAAAGTCAGATTTTGACATCTGAATAAAGTTGTAGTAAACACACAAGCATCAGATTATTAATCAGTCTTTTGACGTGTAAACAGATTATTTCTTTATCTGTACACCCAGTACCAAATTATAATTCACAATAATTTGTTTTACTACAGTTGAAAGACTACTTTTTCATGTCAGTGTTCTCATTATAGTCCGACTTTTTTGGGGGGGAAACATGACTTTATTCTTGTAATTTTATTTTAGTTATTTTTCAGGTAGACTGATTACAAACTTGAAGTCATGCTAATGCCAACTAGAGGGCACACCTTAGTTTAACATGTCCCCATGTTCAAATTATTTTCAATCTTTTCTACAACTGCCACCATTTTTGCCTGTGAAAAGTTTCTATTTTTTTAAATGATTCAGTTGAAACATAATCCAAAAGCAATGTCACATTTTCATTTGTTAATTTTCAGTAAATTCTTCTTAACTATTACTTTTATCTGTTTCAAAGTTATTTCAGGGGCCATTGTGGGATTTTTATTCATTAACAGAGGGCCACCAACAATTTTTTCCACGTTTTTGCCATCAAATTGAGCTTTATGAAAATGTTTTCTAAGGTCCAGAAATCCATCAAAAAAATCTAGACTAACTTTAGATGCTTTTAGCCTTAGTGGTCTACTAAACACTGGTGGATGTTATTTAACATTACGTTTCAAAAGAGCCAACCATGCTGAATATAACAAGGATATCTCTCAGCTACAGTAACCTTACTTCATATCTCCTAATAAAAATAATGAACCGATCACATCTTTGCACTAGAAAATAACATTTATTTACTAGAGTTCAGTTTTTACACTTGAGTAAAGTGTGGATTCTGAAATTCAAAGCGCCTCATTGTTTAGTAAGAATCTTCAGCAGGTCGTCTCTAGTAGGAAACGTGCACAGTGTCTGTTCAAGCTGCAGATGACACAAGCTGAGTGATCTTCTGGTGGAGCACTGCCTTCATGTGCTGGTTGCTCAGGTTGTCTGTGATGGTGGTGAAGAAGTGGCGCGCGTCGTCGCTCTCCGCGTGGCTGCAGCTGTCTGGGAAAGCCGCCATGACGGCCTCGTAGTGGCTGAGGATCTCCAGGCTGCACAGGAACAGAGGCTCAGACTGGCCTCCTGGCATCATCACCTGGAATAAACAAATGCATATCAAATATCAATATCAGTGCTCGCAATGGCACGATCATAAGGAACTACTTGGATAAGATATTTCAGGGCGCACACATTAAAGACGTGCTTTCTTTAATTAGCTTCATCTTGTTATGATCTAGTAACAATACCACCAACTCCCATTGCTGAATAAACTTTAAAGATCATCCATAAATTGCTCTTTCCATTATCATTTATACTTCTGTGAATCTTGCACAGCTGTGTGACATCAACGTTATTTTCCTGTGCATCCGGGTTGCTTTGGGAACATAAACCGTTCACACAGAAGTGTCACTGCGGTCACATTTAATTCGCAGTCTGAATGACAACCACGAGAGAGAAAAACAATGTAAATCAGTAAAGAAAAAAATGGAATTGAGCAGTAAGATCTGCTTTGTGATCAACCCATTTCCAGGCTTTATCAGGGTGCAGATATCTGCAGCCATGCCTGTAACTTCATAGTCATTAAAAGCAGATTTTCCACACCAAACTTTTGCTGCAGCTATGTTGCTGGTAAAATCCAGATATAATCATTTGATTCCTACCTGGATGTGCTGAATGTGGCAGAAAAGCTGGCTGAGAACGAAGAGGACCTCCTGGCTCGGAGCTGCTGCCGGCTCGTCCTTCATGTGAGCATCTTCTGATTCCTGAGGAGAGTCTTCTGCGTGTTCCACAGGATTATGATCTCTTTTTGCAGGTTTAACAGACGGATTTAACTCTAGGGAATCAGGAGCTTTAGGACACTCTAAAGAAGAAGAATGAAGAGGCAGCTTGGCTTTCACACAGTTCATCATGTCCCTCACAGCATGGGCATACAGCCTGCAGACGTGGGCCCAGCCGTCAGAGGACAGCCAGTCGGCGCAGCTGGAGCCACAGAGCAGCTGCAGGACTCGCAGCAGGAGAACAGACAGGCGCAGCTCACATGAGAACTGCCTCAGGTCCAGGAGGGGCAAGAAGTCCACGTACTCCAGAGAGAACGGGACGCTGAGGCGAGCCGACGTGATCAGCTCTCTGAGGACGCCCAGCAGCCGCTCCCACTGGGAGACGGAGCACCAGGGGAGGCTCTGCGTCAGCGCCACCAGCAGGCCCTTGCTGAACATGCTGACGTGGTCGGGCCGGTGCCGGTCCAGAGAAAGACAGGACAGCATGGTGGACCGCAGGGAGTCGGACAGGGAGCAGCACTCCATCCATGCTAAAAGACCCGTCCCCTGGCCGTACTCAGGGAGGTCCAGGCCGGACCAGTCCTACAGGGGGAACAAGGACAGGAATGTTGATGCAGCCTGGTCCAAACATCCAAACACTTTGATCATCTCAGCCTGTTTCGTATACTTAATGAAGTCTAGTTTTTTGAATAGCACATTACAGCAACATGGCAGTTCAAAGTGCTTTACGCCTTAAAAACATCACACAGTCACCAACTGGGAAACGATCAATAAATATTACCTTTTGTCAAATACCATCATCAAAATCATCAAAGCACATCAACTACATTGATCAATATTGATGAGCTGTTTTGCAGTTTTTCTGGAAGTTTGTTTCAGTTTATAGATTAGCTGAGTGCTGCTTCTCCATGTTTGGTTCTGTGGATGCATAACAGAACCAGAAGGACCAGAGAGGCTTAGAAGGTTGATACAACACCAGCAGATCTTTAATGTATTGTGGTGCAAAACCGTTCAGTGATTTATAAACCAACAACAATATCTTAAAGTCTATTCTCCGAGCTACAGGGAGCCAGTGGAAGGACTTTAGAACTGGTGTGATGTGCTCTCACTTCCTGGTTTTGGTGAGAATGCGAGCAGCAGCGTTCTGGATCAGCTCCAGCAGGACGATTGATTTTTCAGGCAGACATGTGAAGGCACTGTTGCATTAATCGTTGCGACTAAAGATAAACACATGGATGAGATTCTCTAGAACTTGCTGGGACATTAGTCCTTCAATCCAGGAAATGTTCTTCAAGTGACAGAAGGCCAACTTTGTAACCGTCTTTATGTGGCTCTGAAGGTTCAGAAACACTGCACCCAGATTTCAGATGTTATCGACTTAAAACAAGCTTCTATGTCTTGTTGAAAAGTTAAATTCATCTTATTTTGCATTAGAAACTAGACCAAAAATACTTATTACTAATAAGTGTTTTTGCAGTGTGGACATGATATTCCTACCTGTTCAGGAAGGTCACAGACTTCCAGCAGAGAGGAGGGCACCTCGTTTTTAAAGTGCTCTCCCCACACGGGCCTCAGATGGAACCGAACGGTCCAATCCAACTCCTCGGTCTTGTTGTAGAGCCAGAACAGAGCTCTGGACCAGCTGGTGGGGGCTGCCTCGATCTCCGCCCCCACCAGCTGCCCCAGAGTGGTCAAAACTGACACCAGCAGCTCTTTGGTGTCCATGGAGCGTAGGTGGACGGCACGCTCTGCTGGCTCCTCCCAACATCTATCAGATGATTCATAATGAAGTTAAAAGATGAAAAGTAGAAAATATAAAACATTAGAAACTACACACACACACACACACCTGTAAGCCTGGTTGTAGAGTTGAGCCAAGACAAAGAGGAGGGGGAAAGGAGAGCAGCTCAACACCCAGTGAGGGGAGGTAGCTGCTTCCACTGACAGAGCAGCATGGAGAAGCTGCAGACTGAACTCTGTGTCTATCTTATCGTCACCTGGAGATACATGGAGAAAATCACAGTGCGAATCCTTCAGCAAATGTTTCAACACATCATCCACCCAAGTACATGAAAGGCCTGGCTACAAATACTAGAAGACATAAGAATTGAAGTTAATAACTACTAATAAAAGTCAAATATTTATAAAGCCTGGGAAATAAAATGATTCATAGCAGATTGTGTCACTTTGTCAGATTACAAACATAAAGTTCAACGACTTGCCTTCCCAGACGAAAAAACTAACACATTTCCAGAAAACACCTGGGTGTTTCTTTTTTTTTTTTTTAAACAGTTTGACTGATTTTAGTAGCTGAGAACCAAATGGAAGTAAAAGACGCATGAAAAGTCAATTTTGGATAATAGGTTTCCTTTAAAGTTTATGGTTGCATCAGGACAAACTGTGAATAAATACAAGGCTGAATTCTTTCACAAGGCTCAATAAGTTTTCCAGACTTTTTTTAAAAACCATCAACTCTTAGTGGGTTAAAACGATAACAAGGGCATCCTCACCAACAGCTGAGAGGTTGGGCAGGACAAAGGTGTTGACGACCTCCTGAGGCAACAGGAAACTTTCCTTCTTCTCCTCATTCATCACGTCTGGCGTCATCAGAAGACCCAGGAACTTGAGGAGTTGCTGCTTCTCACTGGCTGACATGGATTTGCTCCTGATTGTGTCCTGCAAACACCTGCATAGCAGATTCCTACCACTCGCAGCATTTACTTTATCATCTTTAGGTTCCCCTTCATTTTTTCCTCCCAGCTGAGCTTTGAGTCCAGGCAGCTGCTGCAGGATCTTGGCCATCAGGGAGAAGGCTCCCTTGTTGAAAACGGCTGAGTGGCAGCAGGACTTTATCGCTGCCTCTGGGTTCTGAAACGCCACTCTGGCCACCAAGGATACGGCGGTGGTCAGGTTGCCTTGCGACACTGCTGCTGAGGCTCCGCCACCTCCTTGGATGATGCAGTTGAAGGCCATGTTGAGCTCCTGTTGGAAGCCCTCCGTTACAGCGGAGGGGACGGGCTGTTTGAAGAAGCCCTTGCTGGATAAACCCAACATGGCAGCAAGCGTCTGGTTCTTGTCTTCTAAAGAAAGTGCAGAAAAAATATCTGCGGCGGTCTTCATCAACTTCCTGCAGCGACTAATATCGGAGTTCTCAGCGTGTAGGAGACTCATGAGGGTAGAAGAGAGGCGGAGGAGGGTACGATGCTGCCGGAAAGCAGCTTGATTTTCGTCCAGGCAGTGAACCCAGAACTCAGAATGAGCCCAGGATGCCTTGCCTGCAAAGAGCTCTGCAAAGCTGTGGTAGTCCTGCAGGCGGTGAGCGATGATCACCGTGGTTACCTGAGCCTGAATGTCAGGAGCGTTCTCATCAGCAGGAAGGTCCAGGGATTTGAGCAGATCTCTGAGCGCGTCCGTCTCCGCCGCAGCTTCAGGAGCTTCATCGAGAGCCGTCAGGACTCTCTGGATGCTCCGTTGTAGCCGGACGGCAGAGAAACATGGAGTCGAAGGGTCGCTGACCACCAGAAGGCCTTTATCTTTCCAAAACTGTGCGAGACCTGTGATGATCTTCAAGGCTTCAGACAGCTTCATCGTGCTGGGCTGAAACCGAGACGGTGACAGAGAGGCACTCAAGTCTTTCTGAGCGTCTCGAATAAGTTCAGCACTGAGGGTCTCAATCTCTCCTCTGCAGCCGATCGTTTTACACAAAATGTCCAACTTTTCTGTTATAGGAAGAACGACTTCCTGTGTTATCAGGAAGGATGTGTAGAGAGCATCAAGAGAAACAGATAAAGACTGAAAACACACATCTGTAGAAGCCACCATATCCATCATGTCTTTCAGCGCATTAAAGAGAACGTGCAGGATGTCAGTGTTTACAGACGATGCTGTCATTTCTGCAGAGTCCAGCTTCAACCTCTTTGCAGTGTGGGGAGAATCTGAGGACAGACGGGCAAACTGGTTGGCAAACATCGCCTCTATGGTTTCTTCTGTCTGTGATTTAAGTTCCTCTCTGACTTTCCACAGCTCCCACCAAACTTCCAGAAAAAATCTGACATCTTCTTCCCCAGCGGGATCGCTCCTGACATGCTCCGTTAGCCTTCCCAGCTCCATGGCGATCCGATCCTGAGGAAGGTGAAGGAGGAAACGGGCAAAAATAGGTGCAGCGGCAGTCGACTTCACCAACTCCAGTAGGACGGCGTGGTTCACCTCAGGGAAGCTGTTCTGGAGGGAGAAGAACGGATTCTCCCTCCACGCCTTTTCTACATCCTCCTTAGCTTCTCTGCTCAACAGCTTCAACCACACAACACAAACAATTCTCTTCTTCCAAGTTAAAGCTTGAAGGTTGGGTTGACTGTCAGGTTCGTTTCGTCCACAGATTTCTTGGAGTGCTAGTAAGATCGGGCGCCCGACACGGCTCCAGTCGGCTTTGGGAAGCGAGGACAGAGACGAGGGGAGACATAGTTTCTCCGCCTGCAGGAAAGCCCCCTGAAGAATGGCTGAATCTGAAAGAACCAGAAAGTCACAGCAACACTTCATGATTTAGTTCATTAAGCACCGGTCAGGTTTATAACCAAGGCCATTTCTAGCTTTCTGGGAGAAGAGATTCTTAACCCTTTAGGTAGTTTGCTACTACATTTTACAAGTGGTTGAAATTATAAATCATGATACGAGTTAAACTGATAAAAAATCTATAATACAAGGAAATCCACAATCCTCTATCCGACAGTAATTACAACAGTGTTTCTAAAAACTGTGCTAAAATTTGAATAAACATGTCTGGAGTCAGTCATCTTTTTTTGATTGCATTTGTCTGGCCTCCTTTTCATGCTAATGAGAATGATGGAAAGCTGTCAATCACTGCCGGTGACCCGCTACATAACTCCATCTGAGAGTGCGGTTCAAAAAATGTGAGCTCATAATGACAACAACAACAAGACACCATCCAAAGCTCATCTTTACAGTTTATTCTGTTTACATCCTACAATTAGTTTAACAAAAAATTTATTAAATATATGTGATTACTACAGATAAAGACAGGACATTTAAATTTTCCTGAGATGTGCCACTGGTGTTTAGGATCCCACAAGCAGTCCCACAGCTTGCCAAAATTAACAAAGGTGTAACGAATAAAAAACGTTTCAAGAACAACTAATTGGCTTTGAAATAAAAATAAAACTTAAGTTGATTGTCACAGTTTCTAGAATGTTATTGATAACATTTATTACTTTGATTCACCAGTGTTGCCAAAATGTTAGTTATCCTTTTTCGACTTATACATTTACTCATTGCATTATTACCTTTTGTTTACTTATTATGCTATATTAAGCTTTGATACTTACCTACTTGTATTCATTTACTTAGGAATCATTTTGCGTCTATTAATTATATTGTTTTTGGTTTATCGTTTACTCGTTTATTTTGGTTTTATTTTATACTGTTTAACCATAAAGAAAAAAATCGTCTGGTAGATAATATTTTATTTATGAAGTATAAAGGTAATATCTCTATACAGCAGACGACGATAAGCGGGCTTCATAGGGTATGAAAACAATGAAAATATGCATTACCTTTGTTCATAATGAGCGCCATTGCGGCTGAATGAGGAGAAAAGAAGCCCAGTCAGTAAAGGCAGCTTTACAAACCAGACCAGCGGTTCTATGTCTCGGTTCAACCCAGTTTACTGGTATCGGCGTGCTGCAGTTGTCCTCATTTTTTTAACAGCATGTCAACATTTCAAGAGTCCAGCGCTTCCGCTTCTTTAACGTATGGCAGCGGTCAGCAGTAGCCACAGCGACGCCTCTGGACAACGCCGGTACTGCGGCTCCCACAGTCACATCAATATATAAAGTAATTTTTTTTTAAATTCTCTACTATAAAAATACATTATTTTTAATTCTCTTAAGCATTTTCTAAAGTATTTTGTAATTTTTTTGTCATGCAGTTTTCATATGATTGTCACGTAATACAAGCTGGGTGAAGTTTTTTTTCTTAGAAAATGAAAGCGAAAGCGTGTTGATACTCACACAGTTCTACACGGAGAACCAAAGTGGAAATCACCAATGAATAATCACCATGGGTCTGCTGCTGGAGTTTTTTCTATGCTATTTTATAGCAACAGGTATGTCGTTTAAAGGTGTTTGTGTATTTTGGTAAACATTGAGTCATTTTGTGTGGAGTATAACATTGTGTTATACTAATTCGTCATATAACCCTCCACAGGTGTGCACTGTGTTCATCAGATCCAATGGCTGCCCTGTCAGTTCACAGATGAGCATGTGAGCCTCAATAATGAGGGTCATGTTGAGACTCAGCTCATCCACAGACAGGCCATGCTGCAGTTTGGTCAAAAAGGAGACACTCCTGTTAATCCAGATGCCATCACTTTCCTGATCACTGGTAAGTCACTCCCTGCGGCCTGTAAGTCAAGAAAATTGAGCTGGAAACTGCTGCATTTCAGGCTTTATCCTTTCTGGTGTAGGATCCAAGCTGGACCTGCGGCGGTATCTGGACGGGGTGGAAGCAGAGCAGCTGGAATGTGAGCTGCGAAGGTACAGCACAGAGGGCATGCACATCCACTGGCCGAGCCAGGAAGCAAAGGATTACAACCGGTGGTTCACCTGCACCCTGAAGCAAGACAAGGGCCTGTTCACGGTCACCGGCTTCCTCAGACATCCGTCTAACGAACCTCCACCGGGGCAGCAGGACTACCGCAGCTGGCCCGCTATCGCTGACACTGAGATCCTGACTACATCTGGTAAACCTCAACAGATGAGAAATACAGTGTTTAACAATATAGTATTCACACCTCTTGAATGTTTTGAAATGACAACCGCAAACCTTAAGTGTAATTAGGGCTGACACAATTAATCGGATTAATCGTGATAAATGGACAAATTTTGTAATCGATTAATTACTAACTGGAGTATACAAACAGACGTTAAAATGGGCATTTGCTGAAAGAACAACAGCCTCAGAGCACTAATTAAGCCAAAACAGCATAAAAATATATATGTTTACGATGAAAAAAGCTTATTTTTCTGTAACGATGTTCAACCCAGAACTCTTAAAGTGTCATTGTTCAACTTCTGTAAAAAAAAAAACAAAAAAAAAAACAAACAATATTCTATTAGGCCCATTTTGCTATTATTATTGCAACTATTAATTGTTTAATCCAAAAAATAATCAACACATCATCCCTATGCTGTGTTGATGTTATCAAGTCAAACAGAAAGGCCCGAGTTTTTTACATGTTTACATTAGAAGTATTTTTTAGCTACAGATACATTCTTCACTACAAATGATCAAATGCACACTAAAGGAATGCTGCGTTATTACATTCTCAGCAGTCAAATATTTTATTATTTAAAATAGGATTTGAAATATTGGCCTATTTGTATGTTATGAAGTATTACTAACATTGAATAAAATAAGCTTAAGTGGTTAAACAAAAATCAGCAGAATATGCCAAATTGTTTTACCTGATTATTCAATTAATTGTCAGAAAACTAACTGGGAGATTATTTCACTTATTGCAAGACACTTTTTAATGAACAAATAAAATAAGCTCCTACAAGTTCATGAAAAGTAACTTGCTAGTTACTTTTATGTGTACTATGAAGATATCTGCACTCAAAACAAGACAAAAATACTTGGTAAGATTTTGTGTTTTTACAGTATAGTGATTTTTCTGTAGGTGGATTCTCTCACCTGAGCTGTAGATCTCTGCAGCTCCTCCAGAGTTACCCACTGGGTGCTGCTCAGATTAACGGTCATCTTACCCAGATTATCAGTTTTTTTCTGTTGCCTTCTCCTCCCATTTCACAGCAATATGACACTACACTATATGCCGGCATATTGCACCCGATTCCAATAAACTACATTAAAATGTGTCAAAAATTCGAAGGGATGTGAAAACCTTTGAAGTTATGAGCATCTCATACTTCAAAATCTGAACGAAAGTGTTCTCCACCCTAGTCATCCTTCATATATTGATGTATGGTTAACTTTGTCCCGCAGTTGCCATGGTTACCAAAACCCAGACTCCCTCTGTGAAAGCCACCCTTGGTTCTCAGCAGAGGCTCCACTGCCAGTTCGGCATCGACCACCGGGGAGCAAACACCACGGTGGAGTGGCACTGGCAGCAGCGTGGAGAGAGGATCAAACTCTTCAGCCACTGCAGCCGGACGGGGCAGATACAGGGCTCTGGAGTGGGGAAAAAGGCCCTCGCTGGAGGAGATGCCACCTACACACTGCCCTTCACCAAGATGAGCAGTGAAGGGACATACATTTGCTCTGTGCTTGTAAATCCACTGTTTGGGAATCAGGACGTAGTGGTGCATATCGAAGGTGAGAGAGAGAGTTTGTCAGTCGGGTCAGTAAATAATGTCGCCTGGTTTGGGTGGGAATGAAAACAAAAATATTTTAATAATAAATTCCAACAAAAAAAAGGTGTTTGAATATTAAAAATAATAATTTTTATTCATAGTTATTAAAACCCTTTAACCTGCGACGGAACGCCCACGTGCCGTGTTTCCATTGAATTTTCCGGGGGTGATGTTTAAGGGGTTTAACCAGGCAATTCATTACATCCAGTAGGGAAACCTAAACATTTCTCCCCCGGGTGATACGCTCCAACTCAGGAGTTATAAATAATCCTCCCAGCACAATCCAGGCTGTCCTCGCTGTGGGATGTTCCCAGAAAGCCTGCAAAGTGATTCACTTTGGAGGAATCCTGACCAGGTGCCAGAACCACCTAAACTGTCTCCATCTGATGCAGAGGAGGAGCAGCTCTGTCCGTAGTTACCCCCTGAATGACGAGGGTCATTTCATCCACTCACGTCCAGAATCTCATTATTTCAGCCATATCTCATGACTGAAGGCAAAGGTCGGAGTCTAGTCGGCCTGGAAAATTAAAAGCTTTGCATTTTTGCTCAGCTTTTTTTCCCACCATGGCAAACTGGGGTCTGTCTCGCTCCACTCTACCATCACTGTTAAAGTACTGAAACTCCTTTGAGTTTGTAGCAAATGAATCAGAGTTTGATTAAAGCAAACTAAACAGGGCTGGTATGAATGAGCAAAATTATGCAAAATTTATATTTTGCATGTTTTTATGCTTCCATTCGAACTGTTCGAACTCGAACTGTTTCTAAAACCAGCCCACGTACTTAAAATGTGGGCAGTTTTAATCAGACAAATTGTGTCCTTTAATGCATCAATTTTAGACATTTGGTTTACATTAGTTAACAGAGATTTGAATGCATGTCACACTGCATACATGCTGCAATTTTTTACTGTCATACGTGTTTGTGAACACATTTTAAGGAAGAAAGGATTTGAGAGGCTGCTTCAAGAACCCTTTAATTGTTTCTCATTACTGATTGAGAATTTATTTGCGCCAGTTCCTGAACTCTAGAAATCAATTTTTTAAAGAATTATTGTATATTTATCTAGTATTGCATCAGTTTTTTCCATTCAAAGTTGATAATTTCATCCTTTCAGAGCCTCCCCGTGTCTCCCTGAACGTGGGCCCTGTTCTATCTTTGCTGGACGGCAATGAACACAAGGTTGTCTGCGAGGCAGACAACTACTACCCTCTGGATGTGGAGATAAATTGGTACGAACAGGACCCAGCGGCGTTGGGTCAGCGGGTCGGGGCCCCGCTTCCCAAGATGCTGCAGAACGTCCTGCTGTCCAGCCACAAGCACAACCAGGACAAGACCTACTCCGTGTCGGGCTTCTTCTACCTCAAGGCTTCGGTCAAGGATTCAGGGAGGCAGTTCACATGCAGCGTCTCCCATAAGTCGCTAAGAATGCCCGTCAAGAAAAGCTTCATCCTGCAAGTTGAAGGTGAGAGTAGTCCTGAGTAGCTGTGCTACAGAACTACGGTCCACCACCAGATGGCAGCACAGGGTCATGTCTGGTTTGTTCTCTCTGTTCAGAGCCGACCAGCTGGACCTTTTACCTCATGGTTTTCTTCATCTTGGCCTTCCTGCTCGTTGTTCTGGCTGTGATGCTGTCTGCCCTGCACACAGGTGACTGATCACTTTAAAATGATAAGAATATAAGACTCGTGCATTTTGTTATCTAAATGAGACTTGTATTTTTTTTTTCTCCACAGCAAGGAAAAAGTCTAAGCAGGTAAAGTTGCACTGAATCTGAATTATTTTTGAGTCAGTTACCAATTTCAGTGTAAAATGTAGGAAAAACCTGATGAGTGTGTGTGTGTTTTATCTTTGTGTGTTCTGAACAGAATAAACCATACTGAGCAGCGATGGACCATGAAGGGAATTAACACAATCAGCCTGGACTTCCTGACTCCTTTCTCCATGTGCATCTTATGATGATCATGATGATTTGGGACTTGTATGAAGCTTGTGTTTTCTACATTGCACTGACTTTAATGTAATTTTAAGAATAGTAATTCCTGGATACAAAAACTTGACAAACTACTAATTGCTACTATTGGAGGTATGGAGTCCCAGCCTGTACTCTATTTGAGTAAATATTGAGGAAGTTGTATTTATTACTAGAGCTACAATTCCAAACAAAAGTTTTCACCCCCTTTGAATTTTTCACCCCCACAGTTTGCAGGCATACAGTCTATAGTTCATGTTATTTTCAGGGTTTTAAGGTGTAGAATAATTTTAAAAAATTGAATAAATCTCAAGTGGGAAAATTATGCAAGAACGGTTTTCAAAATTTTTACAAATAAAAAACAGAAAGTGTGCCGTCCATTTGTATTTCTGCCAACTGAATGAATACTTTGTAGATTCATTTTTACAGCTACAAATCTTTCCAAAACAAAACATTTGCCTATTCTTCTGTTAAATAGTTCAAGCTCAGGCAGATTGGATGGATCTGTGAACAGCAGTGTTTAATTCTTTCCAAAGATTCTTTATTGAATTTAGGTCTGGACTTTGACTAGACCATTCAAAAACATGAAAATACTTTGTTCTAGGAGTCTGCAACCTTTACAACCCAAAGAGCCATTTTTCTCTCTCAAGCTAGCCAAAACAAAACTCGTTTAGAGCTGCAAAAGACAACTTATACATTTGTATAAAAATCTACTTTGGGGAATGTGTTGTCATAATTTTAAAAAACATAACTTTATATCTGTTTTTAGGATTTAAAATTACAATAAATGTAAAGGATGATAAATATTCCTTTTTTGTGGGATGGAAAATGATGCAAAAATAAGTACATAGATTAAAATCTAGTTATAAGGAAAAAAAATTCAGAGCGAATATGAAAATAAATAGAAAAACCTGCATTTTATATTTGAAGACATCAATTGGTTCTTTTCAATTTTAATATTAAGTTATAAAGTTACTAAGAGCCATTGTGGAAGATCCACTCGCTACTCTAGGTATTTCTGGTGGTATGTTCGACAGCGTTGTCCTGCTGAAACGTTTTTCTTATTCTGCACAATTATGCACTAATTTGTGTTGGTTTGTTGCACGAAATAACCATAAACATAAAATCAGACCTAAATGTCATTTTGGGTAAACAGTTAACCCAACATGCAGGTTTTTATGCTCTAAGAGAGGAAGCAAAATGATCTTTATATAATACATAATTTGTTTCAGAAGCTAATCATCTTACACTCAAAAAAATAGGAAGGCTCTCGATTTAGGAGTAAAATTTTGCACAGTGACAGAAAACAGACAAATCGTTGCTGAAAAAATATTTAGAGTTAGACATCCTGTGGCAAAACAAATCTCACCACTATTTATCTGACTAAAACTGAAGTAGTGCAGAAAGTATGCAGGACATTTTACTCCTGTAAACAACCAGAACACAGTTTTCTTTACTCTTACTTATAAAGCCATTTCACTTAATTAATGGAGGCTTTATTAATGCCTCAGTGGGTACTTTACACTTTATGTTTCAAACTTGACTTGTTTTGAACCTGTTGGATGATCAAAATAGGATTAAAAAGGCAACTCAGGGATGAAATTAATAAAAGCAGAAATTCACTTTAAATAAAAAACCTTTAAAGTCTTTGTTGTAATAAGTACATTAGGGTACATGACAAAAAACACAATTGTTTGTCTAAATTTGGGTAAGAACAGTGAAATACAGACTTGACCAATGTGAGAGGGATGAACAGCATTACACAAGATTGTGACTGACAGCACCAAGACCCGCCTCCTGGCTCTGACTGGTTGTTTCTAGTGGGACAAAGCACACAAGCTCAGTTTTTTCATATTTAATCTGTCTCTACCATACTGTGTCAACATAGTGATATATTTTATAATGTACAGTCAGATTTATTCTGTGTCTTTGAGGTTGCAGAACTCTGCATCGCCTCCATCACAGAAAAAAAAGCCAAGTCCAGCGTAGAGCGGCTGAGTGAAGGTGGTCTGGACTCTGTGGAGCAGAGTCATGGTTTCAGAGACATCATAGAAAGCCAGAACACCTGCACTGTGATCCAGGTACACTCCCAGTTTGTATGACTGAGGACTTGACACTGGAGTCTCTGCTTTGTTGTGACTGAAAGTGTAACCAGCTCCTTTCCAACTTAAATGCTCAATGTCACAGCGTAGCGCCCACGACTGATCATTAAACCCAAACAGCGATTCATTTGCTCTCCCTCCTCTCTTGGTGCTCTTGTATGCAACTGCTACAAAAATTCCTATTCCAGCCCATTTAAACTCAAAGTAGCATCGTCCGGTCAGGCTCTGCCTGCTCAGCACCTGTCTGCAAGAGCTGAATCTCTCCGGGCTAGGAGTGAAGGACTCGTCCTCGTACCACACTATTGCTGCTCTGTTCTCGTTGCTCAGTTTCAGCGTTCTGAAAGCTGTGTTTGGATCCAGACTGATTTCACAGGCGTATTTCAGGAATTCAGCTCTGCTCTTTGGCTCCGGTCGGGAACTGGACACTGTCTGGAGGGTGTGTGTCTCAACGTCTCTCAGGATGTCTTGCAGTTTGTCTCGGAGCTCGGACGCAGCTGCTGTCACGTCCTCGAAGTGCCTCAGAGGAACGGCGTTGATGCCGGATGAGTCTGCGAGGTCACTGGGGGCTGACAGCGAGGCGTAGCTTTGCAGGAACTGGTTGTGATCTTCCGTGTGTGAAAGCTTCTCCAGCTCAGTGTCTCTCCTCTTCAGATCATTGAGCTCCTGCTCCAGCTTCTCCTGAACCTCCTTAACCCGAAGCACCTGAGCTTCCTGCTGCGATCTGATCTGCTGCTTCACCTCAGAGCGTCTTTTCTGGAGGAGAGTAATCAGCTCAGTGAAGATCTTCTCTGTACTCTTCACTGCTTCATCAGCAGAGACGCAGGCATCCTTCACCTCCTGCTGGAGCCTCTTCAGCTCCTTCTCCTGGTCCTCGATTTTCTTCTGGATTTGCTGTCGATTCTCCTCCAGCTCCTTCTGCCTTTTTGCCCTCTCAGCTGCAGCTGGAGCCGTTTCATGGCCTTTGTGTTCATCCATGGTGCACAAGATGCAGATGCACTGCTGATCGGTGAGACAGAAAACCTTCATCACCTCATCGTGACGAGAACAGATGTTCTCCAGGAGCTTCTTGGAGGGCTCCACCAGCTTGTGTTTCTGCAGCGGAGCGGCGCTGTAGTGAGGCTGGAGGTGTTTCTCACAGTAGGAAACCAAACAGTTGAGACACGACCTGACGGCCTTCTGCTTCCTCCCAGGGCACACGTCACAGGCCACATCTTCAGGTCCAGCATGATCAGCAGCAGCAGCCTGGAGTCCAGTCAGCTTCAGCTGCTCCACCAAAGCTGCTAACATTGTGTTTTTAACCAGAGCAGGCCTTGGTGCAAAAGTCTGCCTGCACTGAGGGCAGCTGTGATGTTTCTTCTTACCCTTTTTATCCCAGAAGCTTTGAATGCAGCTCATGCAGTAGCTGTGGCCACACGGAATAGCCACTGGATTGTTCAGTAGGTTCAGTAAAGCAGAAGGCATAATGTTTGATGTTTAATGAAGGCTGAAATGTTTGGGTGCCGAGATTAAAACATGTTGTTACGATTTATGGTCAAAATCAACGAACTACCAAGAGGATAAATTCATGATGTCTTTTTGTTTAATGTTTTATAAGAATGTACATCGGAAGCTTGCGACCAAATCATGGATAACGGCGCCCTCTGCTGTTGGTATGATAAAAATAAAGTTTACATCTGTTTTGTACAAGTTTCATGATGTCAAACTAAAAGCTTTGATACAACATGTTTACCCCGTGAGGTTGCACTTGCTGCACTTGGATAGCATTTCGTTTGATTTCCTTCTCCACATTGGATCATTTCAGCACAAATCTTTTTTTTATGAACTCAAATTGGAAACTGTTGTCACTAAATTTGGGCTTGGTGGACATTTCATCATGCACAGGTAGCCATATTCAGCGTTCCAAACATAATGTCCTCACTCTGACAATTTTCACACGTTCCTTGGTTTCAGTCATGGACATGAATCCAACTATTATCAGATACACTGAGAGATGGACGAAAGATTTTTAGAAAGTGGATTTTGCAGGTTGATGCTGTTTGTATGAACTGAAAAGCACTTACTGGGATTGTCTAGAATGATTTGAGAAATGCACCAAAGCAACTGAGGAAAACTGCCACTTATAAACTTTGTCCATATTTTGTCCTTTGTTTTAACAAAACATTTTAACGGAAACACCAATATGTCAAACTTGCTGTATTACACATTTCTATTGTCCTCAGCTGGCAGAAAAGCCCTGCTATGGCATTACATAACCTTTTCCTCGTAAAGGCCCTGGAGCTGAACACTCAGCAATCAGCCACACACACTTCATAACAGAGCCCGTCCATCCATCCATTTTCTTTACACCCTTGTCCCTTAGTGGGGTTGGGAGGGTTGCTGATGCCTACCTCCAGCTATCGTTCTGGGCGAGAGGCAGGGCAACACAGAGACAAACAACCATGCATACACACACTCACACCTAGGGGCAATTTGGAGAGGCCAATTAACCTGATAGTTTTTGTTTTTGGACTGTGGAAGGAAACCAGGGTACCCAGAGAAAACCCACACATGCACAGGGAGAGCATGCAAACTCCATGCAGAAGGACTGAGGCTGGGTATCGAACCCAAAGCCTTCTTGCTGCAGAGCAGCAGCTCTCCCAACTGCTCCACTGTGCAGCCCCATCAAGATGAGACCATATTTTTATTTTGCCTAAATTCTGGAAAGATGGCATCATTAGCTCTCAGTAAACAAAGCTGCAAACAGAAATGCAGTGGATCTTTAAGGAAGAACGGCAGATAATCCCCAAATCCACGTGTGAAAAGCTTGTTGCATCACATCCCAAAAAGACGCATGGCTGTACTTCTTCAAAAGGGTGATTCTACTCAATACAGAGCAAAGGGTCTGAATACTTATGACCATGTCATATTTCAGTTTTTATTTTTTTAATAAATTTGCAAAGATTTCTAAGTTTGTCTTGTCTCTGTCAAGATGGGATGCTGAGTGTACATTCATGAGAAATAACTTTTTTGATATTTTAACAAATTGCTGGAATAAAGCAAAGAGTGAAAAATGTAGAGGAGTGTGAATACTTTCCATATCCACTGTAAATATGGACTCAAGTTTAAACAGATACATGAAACACAAGAGAAAAATCTTTCAGTTATGATCTTTGTGGACACTGATATATCCTGAAATCAAGTTCAAACACACATGAGAATCCACACAGGCCACACAACTTAGTGCTGTGATCTTTGTAAAACAAACGATTTATCTATATATCAAATATAATCTCACACAAGAGAACCACCCTAGAACAGAAACCATTTTGCTGCGATGTTTGTGAGAAATGATTCAGGGAGAAAGGAGATTTAAACACACATATGAAGGTCCACACAGGGAAGAAACCTTTCAGTTGTGATCTTTGTGGGTATAGATGTAGCCAGAAATCAAATTTAAACAGATACACGAGAGTCGACAAAGATAAATATTTTAGTTGTGTTACTTTAGGGATAGGACAGGCACACGAATCAAGCTTTAATCACGTTTTTACGAATCATGAACCACGAATCAAAACAAAAAAACAAAAAATATTCAGCTGTGTGTGTTGAGCTGGAGGACACTAATGAGTGGAAACTGATTTAGAATGTAAACATAAGCATGGAAGGAGTATGAATACTTTTTAGCTTAATGGTATTTATGAAAAATATATTTTCCTCATAAATGTGAGACATGTAAAAGACATAATATATTATAAAATATACAGACATATGCAATACTTGTATGTGTGAGAAAACCTAATACTATGCAAAGTCCCGCAGTTTGACAATGAAAGTTACTGGTTGTTTATCTTAAAAAGTTGAAAAGGTGAAAGTGAGATTTGACTAAGAAAACTTTCTACAAAACAACTCGAGAAATGAGTGTTATCAGTATTTGTTTCAATATCTAACACTAACAAACCCAATTAAAAGTATATAATTTTCTCTCTGCAAATTTAATAAAATTGCCATATATACCTACACTCCTCACCAGTAGGTGGCGGCGATGCACACCGGAAAGTTTTTTTTTCTTTTTCTTTTTGCCAACCCGCAAAAACCGCAAGAGGAAGAAGAAACTTCAGAGGATTTCCTGTTTCTCCATCTTAGGTCATGCGGGGACAACGCGTCCCGCTTTTCATGGTTTGGTGATATTTCTGGTAAGAAAACAGTAAATATTCTCATAGTTTGTTGAAATATGTTTGTACCTTCGCAGTAAAGTGTTGAGCAGGCAGTATTTTAACAGGATGGTGTGTTTCAGAAACGGATGGTGAAGAAGAGCTGAGTGCGGCGCAGAGCGGCCATTTCCTGCTGAGGATAAGTTGTGGGATCATCTGTGAACTCCAGCGTCCTGGTTAGCTGAAATATTGCTGTGGAATTAAAACTTTGATTAAATGATGCATAAAGTTCTTCCACACGCTTTAAATAACTGCTTTTGTGTAATTTAGCTCTTTGTTGTAGAGTAAAGAGGCCACTGCTATGTTTCTGTCATTTTATGTCATTTATTTAGTGCTTTTCAGTTTTAATTATTGTTTTTTCTTATTCTTTAAGCTTTCAAAATTTAATTTTGGTTACCAATGTTTAGCAGAAGTCTGTATTCTGGTTTTTGAATAAAAGTAGAAAGTACAATACTGCACAGTAAGAAGCCCAGCTATTGTCCTGTGAGGATATCTGGGACCAACTAAAGATCCTAATAGATGAGTTATAGAATCACATTGTATTTTACAATGATTTGTAGCTTTTTAACTTTGTTCATTTTGTGGTTCCTGTCTCTCAGCTGGATCTACAAGTTGACCTCACCACCAGTTCACCCATCTCTCTGGTTGTGAAGAGGAGCGGTCTCCATTAGAAGAAATGGAGCATCGAGGCAAAACGCTGGAGGCTGATTTCAACCCCAAAGTCCTGCTGCATAGATTAGGTTTGTATGTTTTCTTATCAGTAATGGTTTAGGAGCAGCTTTCTGAGGTTTATCTTCTTAACAGAAAGTTGAGAAACGGTTTGTGTCTGTGTTAGCAGATTAGCTTTCTATCTGATGGAAGATTGACTGAATCCTAACGCAAATGAACGTGTCCAATTTGATTCATCATTGAAATATTCAACTTTTCTGCTGCTCTTGGTTCAATGGAGCTCTGGTTCCTAAAGCTATTGAAGATTATGTTCAGGTCTTTGGCTTTCTTTTTCTAGATAGCTCTCATCATTTAGGATTGAAGTTGGTTATCTTTTCTGATAACCATCATTTGAACAAACTGTTCAAATGATGGTTATAGGGAGACTCTCTTCCTGATCAGCTCTGAAACTGGGTATAGAGGCACTTTGGTCTGGGAAGTCTGCATTCAATCACATCAGCTTCATGAACTTAAAGAGCTCTGGTCTTAAGAAACTGTCTAGTTCCCAAACGAAGCAAATTACTGTAAACAGCTTTAGGCCAGAGTGACTTTGTCCTGATTCCCTGTTGGATCAAATATCTGATTCAGAGCATTGATAGCACAAAAAATGTCACCTTGATGAGTTCATTATCTTCATGTCATCACACGAAAATGATTTGTTTTCTTTGTTCTGGGTTTTAATTTGTTATTTAAGTCTGTGTAATGTGCATAAAACAGAACTTGACACATTTTTCAAAAGAGACAAGTTTATATTTAAATTTATGAACACAATAACATCCATCAATTCAAGTTACAAAGTAACATGTTTTGGCTACAGGATTGTAAACAAAAAGTAAAAACTAGCAACAAAAACACCCCATTTAAATAACTCAGCTATCATTTCTTTGGCTTTCTGCTACAGATGCAATTTATCGATTAATGAGTAATCAAAAGTTAATTGATTTTATTCAGGGTTTTCACCAGAAAATAGACTTAAGTTTGGTGGTAGATGGCCCCAGGATGGCTGACCGCCAACTCATCGAGTTTTAGAAAAAAAAATGTTTAAAGCTGAAAATATTGCTATTTATTATGTGATGTAAGATATTTGAGACATATTACAGTTGTATAAAAAAGTCAGGCTTAAAATACAGATTTTAACAGGCATTGCTATTATAGTGAACCTCAGAGCGATCAACATCGCAGTTCAACCTGAAGTCAAACATTTATGTACGTTAGTTTGTAACACTAGTAATGTTGATGTGAATATAAAGCTGCAGTGGTTTATAATGTACATAATTTGCTTCATTGGTTCCTGCAGATGCTCAGCAGATGTTGCTGCTTAAAGAAGATGCTCCTGAAGAACATGGTCCAGGTCTTGACCTACAAGGTCCAGAGTCTCTCCCACCAACCATGAATGAGGATGATGAAGAGTTTCTCCTGTCTTCTCACCTTCATCAGCACCACAGAGAGTTACCAGAAGATCACTGTGAAGCAGCAGAACCTATCAGGAGTCAAGATCATGGAGATTATTCCAACTCATCAGAGACTGAACTCATTGAGGAGGAAGAAGAGGAGGAAGAAGCTGATGTAAATAATGTTTTCTGTCAACTTGAACAATTGCCAGATTGCAGACCAAATAGTAAATACAAGGGAAATGACAGCAAGGTGAGCCATTCAACTAAAGGATCTCCAATCTCTCAGGATAAAATGAAATTATTTACTTCAAAGAAAACCCTAGACTCAATGAGGAAAGTTAATGTTGAAATGAAATTTAGCTGTGATGCCAATGGTATATCATGTAAAAAAAATCCAACATCAAAAAGACATGCGAGAACCCTAGCAGAACATGAACATCTCTGTAAATTGTGTGGCCACACATTTAAAAA